CCCTCGCCACTTCCGCCGTGTGCGATCCCCCCCCAACCGCTGCCCCGCCTCCCCTCACCCCTCCCGCCGCCTGTGATGGCCTGCCCGACAAGGCCACGTCTGCAGCCGTCCTCGAGCGTGGTGTCAGCGGTGTCCGTAAGCGAACCACGCCCTCTAGCGCGTCGGTTGGTGGAGTCATACGTGGCAGTGGCAAGCGATTTCCCCCACCCTCTCTAGCTGCCGTCGCGGCGTCAACGTCGACGACGTCTTCCGGTGCTGGCCTCCCTCCTGCCCGTCGTCTTTCGCCAGCGTCGTCTATGCGGATGCAGCCACTCCCCCGCCTGGACAACTTCCGCTTCAACGGCATGTCGTCAGAGTCTTCGAAATCCGTCCCCTCCTGCGTCCCCACGTCCTCCGGCACCCACTCTTCATCCAGCACGTAACCTCCATGTGTCGGGGTGCCTTCGAGGATCTTCCTCTTCTTGCTGGCCATGTGGCGGCCCTTCTTCTCCCGGGTCGGCGGTTGTTGTGAGAGGTTGGCGGCGGCCTTGCCGCGTGCGGAAGCGCGTGAGGACATGGCGCAAGACGCACCCGCGGTGACGATGACAAGCTGGACGACGAGGGCGAGGATCTACGGAAAGGCGACGGTGGCGGTGAAGACGACGGGCGAAAAGACTTGCTCGTCGAGGAGAATGTCGTCAAAGACGACGGCAAAGAAGACGCAAGCAGTGAAGATAAGTACGTTGGTGACGGACGCGGCGACGATGGCGATGACGGCGACGATGTTGAACAAAAAGGGTCGAGGGCGACGATGGCGAAGATGGCGGGGATGCAGGCTACGAAGGCGTCTCGAGTGGCGCAGACGCCTGCGACCAAAAGCAGAACAAGCGCGGCGGGCGGCGGGGACTGCTTGAGGTAGAGAGAGAGAGAGAGTGTTATCGTACATTTGCGCAGAACGCCCGCGTCCTTATAAACACGTGTCACGCCGGGTGGACGGCAGCACAGACGCAGCGCGAAGGCCAGCCGAGGGTCATTTCCAAGCTCCACCAAAAGACAAGAAAAACGCAGGGTCATCGCGGCGGGCGAGACGAAAGGCGAAGGGTCGCGGGCAACGCGACCGTACATCCGTTGCGCCACCGCCCTTCGTCCCACCTCCCCGTCGTGGATTGTGGACAAGGAGGGACCCCACAGGCCGAAATTATGCCCTCATAAACGACTCCACCCCACTCTACCATCGTCCACACTCCATGCCAGCCATGAACGAGGACCGAACTCGCCTCCTACCCCTGCCCGCATTCCACCCCCCCCCCCCCCCCCCCCCCCCCCCCCCCCCCCCC